TGGACCCAGCTGCGAGCCCTAAAAAGCCTCACCTAAACTTGCTTGGCTCACCAGCGCAGGTCACCTCCCATTCAAAAATCCTACCTACAGGCTTGCAAGCAACCTACAGTAATGGATGAAAAGCCTGCTAATTATATGCCTATGCAACTATTTGAGGACTGCTTTCATGCTACTTAATTAAATCCGTCAGTTCCTATCACACTCTAATTTTGCAAGAATTGAAATTTTGGTGGTGCCAGTTGCTTCCAGGGACTTGCTTTCACCACAGGCTGTAACTGCGGAATTTGAAGTTGTCAAGTTGAATTTATCTTCTCTAAGACTTATTTGAATAATGAATGTCCATATACTGTAATAGAGGGGTTTTCAACTGGCGGCTGCGGGCCATCTCCGGCCCGTGATTGTGTGTTATGCAGCCCGCGAGAACAAGCTAAAAAATAATATTTTCCGTTAGGCTTGAGCCTAGATTTCTAACCTTAATAATTTTACATTCTGTTTTGCCGACTATACCTATTGCCTCTCAAATTGTAGCGATTTATTTAATCAAGTTGGAAAAACTATGCAAAGAACTATGCAAAGAAAAACAGCAAAAAATCCACTTTTTGCTTCTCGCACAGTCACTTGCTTGATGTTTCAGGTCTAGCCGACCTGGGAAGAAAGACATCTCCCTCCCAAACCCTCCCATGGCTCGCACCTGCTGCACTCGGGTGGTGCTACCGTACGTGCCAATGTACACTTCTTGTCCAGGCCCTTCAAATTTATTCAATAAACAATAGCCCCTATTGTGATATAGTTGAGAACCCCAGATATAATACATTAAAAATAGTGTAAACAACATTAAGGGGAATTTGTCACTTGTGGATTCTACCACCTTTTAGACAAACTTTGATGTAAGGGGAAGTTACAGAACCAGAAACCAGAACCAGAAACTTCAAACAGTTTATTAAAGATTAGAAATTAGGGAAGATAATCTCATAAAATAAACCTATAATTTAGAAGTAACACATTACGAGTGAACAAATATGAATATGGATTATTCAATTCACCTTTTACATTAGGAAACACATGATATTGTACCATCTGTTTTTCTATAATACGGAAGCGTAGGGGAAATTATTAAATACAATAGGCCTACTGTATAGAATCGACAGGTGAACTATTAACAGAATGTACTGAAGAAAAGTAAATAGAACACAATTTTTTACTGTTTTTTTTTACCCCCGTAGCCAGGTGGGTTTTTAGGGGTTCAGGCGAACCCCCCTTTTTCAGCGAACCCCCCTTTTGCCAGCGAACCCCCTTAGCCAGAAAACGATCCCCGCAAGTATATTTACATAAATGGTTCTGTAACTTTTAAATATAATAACATTTTTCCTTGCCCTAATATATATATATTTCCATTGGAACTTAACATTTAAGTTATTTTGGTAAAAAAGTAAAATGTAGTCCTGTCAGTTGCTATTGTTTTTCTGCAATAAATAAGATATTATTTGCAATATTTCTCTTTTAAGCAAAGACCTTTTACATACCTCCATATTTTAATATCTATTTAGCGATCTCATAATGTGCAAGGTCTGTGTTTAGTACAGTCACCTAGTGGGTATTGCTAATTTTATCCCAGTTATATTTTTAGAGATAACATTACATAGTAGCATTAAAATGTTAAGCATTGCTTTTTAATAAAAAAAAATAGACCAGGCTATAATTGAGATAGGTGCCACTTGGAGAGGTAGAAATTCTCATATGGTTTTCCTAGACCAGTTTTTTATGGGGAATCAGAATATGTGAGGTAAAAGGGACGTAACCTGAGAACTTTCGCGTGAGGGCGCTTTTTTCAAAATGGCCGCTAAAATCCAATATACTACATATATATAGGTAAAATAAGCACAAAAGAGGTAGGTTTGACCAACTTTTGAATATGTAATGATAGGAGTAAAGTATAATTAGCTAAAGTTATTAATGTGAAGATGTCGAGAGGCAATTGAGGGCGCTTTTTAAAATGGCGGCCAAAATTAAAGAACAGCTTAACAGCGCGCAGCTTCAATACCCTAAATAAATTTGGTTAATTTACAAAACATTAACGTAATAACTGCTGTTGACTTTTTAAACCCAAAATAACATATTTTAGGGTGGTAAGCTAACTCACTTTTGGAAATGTAAGTAAAAATTCCCCCTTATATTAGTCCTTTTCTGTTTAGAAGAATGGAAAATATCACCAGAATCCTAAAAAAATCCAGCTTTCTTACAAATATCCGGTTGTTTTTCATTATTTTTAGCACACTGCAATCTGAAAGTCTTCGTCTTTATTATAAACAGTTCTTGGACGTCCATGGGCATCACTGTCTCATTATTTTTTTGCTTCATTTGATCATTCCATCTGTTGTGAATACTATTTTTATTGACCAAATCATTTACGTCTGCTTAATTTCCATTTTAGCGATTAAATTTGCTCAAGTGCTCAAGGGTCTGCTTGCAAACATGGTGGTAGCAATGATATGTCTGTGATCTTGTTGCCTCTATTGAACATTTGAACATTTCACATATTTGCTTGATTTGCACTTTTCCCCTTAACTCCATACCACAGTCTTCAAGTTCCTTAGACATCTTTTGTGACAGAACATCTAAAACTTTAAAGTTGCAGAAAGTGTCAACAAAACTTTTCCTTTGACTACAGAAGCACGAGATCCAATAAGGGATGCTTTCTTCGCTGGTGAAAGTTAATGTCACTTAATTTGAACAACTTTCGGTATTTGCCAGCGTTAGTGTCTAGAATGACTCTCTCTCCGCTGTCATAAAATAAGATATAAAGTAGCAACGACTGCAATATTGATGTCTCCAGAATGGAACGGTTGATATTTATGTATTGGTTGTAATTCCTTAAAGCATGCATTGCATGCAGGACGACTTTCGGCTCTTCTTTTCTTGGCTGCTACGAAGATCTGGAACTAATACAAAATCTCTTTCAGTGACAAGGATGCATTCTTGCCGATAGCAATATTCAAGAAGGCATCCAACCAGTTTGTCGGAATCCCAGTTTGCAGAAACTCAGTTTGCCGAAACCCAGAATGCCAAATCCAGTTCACTGAAATCATGAAATCCTATTTTCCCAAAACTCTGTTTTCCGAAACCCAGTCCAAATCTCTGTTTTGTGTTACAAAAGTACAGCATACTGTGCATTTGAAAGGAAGGAGCTTCATTTGTGTACAAATTAAAAAGAAAAATATTCGAAGACATCAAAGCTGTAGAAAAACACACTTGAAAGCATGGTTATCAGTTAAAATTAGAAATAAAATGAAATGAAATTAAGGATAAGCATCGTATTCTTCTAAAATACTCCCTATGCAAACCCTATCAGGATTGTTGTGCCAGGTCCCTGACCACCGAGGCTCTAGTCGGCCCCTTGAGTCAGACCCCCTGTCAACAAATTTCTGGAGCCACAATTGATATGTGTGTATATTGTAGATTATTATTAGTTTGTTTATTTCCTTTTAAATTCATATTTTTTTAAATATGAATTTATGTATTTATCATAGGTATGCTAATAAAACGTTTTAACTGCGAGGCCTATTAAATTGAATTTTATTTGCTGATAGCTAATTGATTTACAGATTAAAAGAAAAAGAATCATTTAACTAATAAGCCGATATTTTTTATACGAATACATAATAAGAGAGTGTTCCAACATGAATGTTATGCTGTAGTTAATGTTTTATGGCTTTCATTTTATTTTCCACAAAGTGGGTTTCAGCGCAAACTGGGTTTCAACAAACTGGGATTCGTAGTTTTTGATTCAGCAAACTGGCATTCGGCAAACTGTGTTTTGGCAAAGAGAAATCGAAAATCTGGCAGTCAGCAACCTGGGGTTCTACAATCTGGCGTAGAACCACCAAGAAGAAGCCGACACAAAAGTCTTCTGTATGCAAAGCATGCTTTAACGAATAACAACCAAGACATAGCAATAATCCGTTCTTTTTCTCGAGAAATCGGTATTACAGACAATTACACCCCGGCTTTCTTTCGTAAAGGAAAACGTAGCTTCTGTAATCATAAACCGAGTTTGTTGGAACTTTCAGCAACTTCGGAGTTTTATGTTCTGTCACAAAAGTTGTCTGAAGAACAAGAGTATGTCTCACTGCTGCTTGGAGTTAAGGAGAAAAGTGTAAATCAAGCAAGTAACATGTTCAATAGAAAGTTTTGCAGAGACAAGATCACTGACATATCATTGCTAGATGTGTATAAGAGACAGGGCCTGAACAATCATTATTATATAAATAATTATTGCAAAAGTAAGAAGGTTCAAGTGCAAAATACACTGATATATTTTAGGCAGTAAGATATTCCCTCGATAGACATCGTTCCAATGACTAGTGTACTGTATCATTGTGGAGAATTGCACTAAGACTAAAGTCCAAATCGCACTGGACATTTCTTGGTAAAACTAACCAGACCCCACTTAGATTTACAATTACTGTACTTACTGTAGTACAAGGTGCAAACAGCAAACTTTCCTCTCACAAAAACTTAGATAGCTGTTAGTTTAACCGAGTGGATTATGCCAACTAAAACTGACCAGGTTTACCGAGCAGAAAAGGCCAATTCGAACATACATAATACTCAGTGTCACAGATATCGCCCCCAATAGTTGATTTTCACAGCAGGCTTAGTTTTACCATTTCTCTAATGGTAAATCTTACCGACTCAAAAAATCCAAGTGCAGACAGCTGTGTAAGATTTACCAATTGGAATGTTACCTGTGATCTCAGTAAAATCTCTCCCTTTATAACAACATATTTATATATGTTCTTGTTTGAAGGTTTGCAGGGCACATACAGTATGTTGATGTTTGTGGTACACCACATGGTGGTTCTAAAAAGAACTGTTGTAGTTGAGAAAGTCTCAACGTTTTGATTGAGTTGCTTCAATTGTCTTCAGGAAAATAATTATCATAAACATATTCTTATTATTCCAATTCTTATTATTCCAATTGTTCCCATTTCTTGTTAACAGACTGGACTTCCCTTTTTAGTTGGCAGTCACTATCTTTGTAATCATGGGAGAGAAGGAGGCAATAAAAGTTGTCCAGAAGAGTCTGGGCAAGTTGGAGAAGATGAAAAGTTACAACAACAAAGATGCCATGAATGAATTAAAGATTATTGGTGACTGCTATTGGGATTTTGAAGTATTTAGAAAAGAAGTTGGAGAAGCATTAATTGAAGGAAAAGCTGCAGGTTTGTATAAACAAAAATGGAAGGGCAAATTAAATAATTTAAATGAATGACTACATTGGAAAAGGTAGTAATAAGAATCTCTAGACTAACATTAAGTTGCAAAGAGTTTTTTTTTTCTTGTTCTTTCCTTGTGCCATTTGGTAGTCACTTCTTTGAAGTCTGCAGAACTTAGGCGTTCAAAAGCAGGGGTCCCAAGTCACCCACGGGACTTTCCAAGAAAACAAGACGGTGCCGCACTCCCACGAGCCAGAAACAATTTTTCGGAGACTTCTGCAAATTTAGAATGCTTGTATGTTTTTTACAGACTTTATAATTATTTGCTAGTTAAACTCTAAAAGCTGGCAATGAGTACCATCAATTTAAGGTTTGTTAAGAAGCTCATTAAAACCAGATCTCCCATCTTGAGACCCATGTCATTGCTACTACCAATGACACTTTCAACAATATTTCTAATGTATGCACAGAAATGTTCATTCGCACCGATTCCCAAATTTCATGTCGAAACGCCTACCTAAGTGATTAGAAAATTTAATCATTGTGTTAAGAGTAGGGACGCTGGTGTTCAGCGCAATGAAAGCGTCGTCCAAATTTTGGTCCAGATCCGATGTAAATACAGCTTTACTCTGTAAAAGGATTTGTATTTTTTAAAATTAATTCATTATATTTTTTTTATGTTTCACTTCCCTCACTTCCTTTCACTTTTTTTTCCTTTCAAGACCTGTTTGTGAAAATTCTCAAAGATCTTGCCACACCCGGTTACTTCAAGAATGACGATGTCTGGTTTTCTGCATATTATGCCTTTAACAACTCGTGGAACTTTAGCGATGCCAGCTTGCATTTTGCTACTACTCTGGGAGATGCAGGCATGGTTAAGTTATGTGTTGGTATATTGGACACACCTGCGTATCGACAGAAGCTTGATAAGTCTAAGGTGAATCAACAATTCCAATATTTATTTGAATTTTTTTTTCTATTTTTTTATACATTAAAAATTTTTGTTGTACTCCATATTCTTTGTTGTTTCCTTATGTATTTTATTTAAAAAATTAATTGAAATATACTTGTAATTATTAAGGTTTTTCTTTCCTGCAGAACGTGGACTATATGTGTAAGGCGTGCATGAGTATATTGCACAATCTGAGTAAATCGGTTACACTCAAGCACTATTTCCGTGACGAAAAGGTTGTTGAAAAGATCCAGGTGTATGTGGAATGCGGCCCATTCCTGAAGGCTCTGACAATGATGGTGATTGCGGCTATCATTGAAGAGTCGGAAATGGCATACCTGAAAGACACAGGTGAGGGATTCCTTTAGTAGCATAACAAAAAACCTCGGGGGCTCCTGGCGAAGGCTTCTTCTACCCTGGGGGGAAAAGCCCCACTCCTTAGGTGTTACTTGTTATTTGTATAGCGCCTTTCTTTTCAGTTACGAAGCGCTGAAGTTCTTTTCCCTGGTGATTGGGTCCACGTGCTAAGTGTTGCTGCTGACAATCAGCGCAGGAGCAGGTAACCCCACCAGGTTCCCATTTATACTCCTGGGTGGAGAGAAGCAATGCAGATAAAGTGTCTTGCTCAAGGACACAAGCGAAATGCACAGCGAGGGATTGAAACCACGGCCTCGAGGCTGGGAAATCAAACCGTTTCCTCTGCGCCAAACCGCTTCTAGCCAGTGAGACCATAGCTGTTACACCACTGGATTCCTATGATACTAGACCACCACACACAATCCCACCCCTCCCCCTGAATGAAATCATCATCACTACGATATTTGTCCTTGAAACTCTCTAGAACCATGGTAGGGGCCAGGATTTTAAGTGTTAACACCATTTTCAATTATTTTATGCAAATAAGTCAGTTTCAGGTGGTCCAATTTTGTTTAAGTTTGTATGTTACTCAGGGTGATCCCTTAACAATTTTCCTGGGTCAGAAGATATATTTACTGGACTAAAACAACAATAATACAGTGTTTTTTTTTGTGTTTTTTTTTTGGTCAAGTAATTAAGTGACAAAAATGTTGTAAAGTACTGCTAATGTAATATAGGTATGTCAGAACCTACACAGTTTAGCACACATTTGTTTTTGCATTTATATAATAGTATTTGCTTTTTTCTGATATATATAATAGTTTTTAAATAAAAAATATGATTGACAGGCACAATTCAGTACCTAATTGAGATGTGTGAGAAGGCTATGCAGAGCAAGGACAGAAGGTGTGAGGGCTTCTCTGTAAAGGAGTTAGTTGAAGGTCTGGAAAGGCTAGCTGTTAATAAGGAAAATTGTAAAACAGTAGGTATCATTTCTTTAAGCCCTGTATTCGTGCAACAACTCAAACCAGTCACTCCTCAGAAAAATCTATCTGCTAATCGCCTCCGCGTAACTTCACCTACAGTTATTTCCTCTGAAACCGCTGGCAAGAATGTGCTCATCTTCCATGCACTGGGGTTTCTATATGTCACAAACACGATAGACTACATTTCTAGGCTGGATAATAGATGAAAACGAAAAAAAAAACCAGCCAAAAACCACCCAAAATGAGTACTTCCACGGCCATGTTTCATGAGGTGTTTACATCAAATAAAGACTACAACATCTACTCGGTTTTGTTTGGTTGTGTCAATAAAATATTGTGCCAGGCTGTCAAATAAACAGTTGTATCGCCGGAGGCTATGTTTTGCAGCTTTATTACGTCACATAGAAACTACAGTAAATCATCTCCTCGGTTGTACTGCTAGCTATATTTTACTGGGCGTTAGGCCTAAACTAGGTCCTAGGCTAGGCCGGCTCCCCTCCTCAAATCCGGGTAGATTTTGCTCAGGTCTATATGTATAACTATTATTCCATCATGCCATAGTGTATATAAAAGCTAGACTGAAGTTTAGGGTCAAGCCAGCTCTACCAATAAACACCTTGAATTTACGTGAATTGAAAGGTGTCTTTCTTTAATTATTACGTACCATTCCACTAAATTTGATGATCCGTTCATTAGTTCTTGGTTAATCTTGTTAACAGACGGAAAGACAACCTGACAGCAGTGCGGCGCCAGCGGGGGAAAACAGGCTGAACCCTCCCCCCCTCACCGGTCAGGTCAAGCCCTCCAATCAGACAGAGCTCGGCAGGCAGTCGGACTAACAAAATATGAAAATAGGCCCACGCCAAGCCAACACATGTCTGTCACAGTCTGAGAGTTTCATTTCTGGCTATCCAGAGGCTCCTATTCTTAAAAAAATCTCATTTTGGTAGGGGGAACACTCTCTCAAACCCTTCCTCCAGCTTGGGCCTACGAGCTCAAGTCCCCCCTTTCGGACAGCTCAGATCAAATCTGTAATAATTATAATAATAATGATCACTAATAATTCTTTATATTTTTGTGTTGAATTCTAGGTAATTGAATCCAAAGGACTGGAGACTTTGAAAAAAGTGCTGTCCTTCCATGACAACACTGAGCAGGTGCAGGCTATTAAAGCCATTTGGAGCCTGGCTTTTGATGAAGATTACAGTCGTCCTGCGCTAATTGCTGACCAAGGTATTTTACCTCTCTTAGAAAAACTAGCCAAGAGTGGTGACAAGGAAGTGAGGAAAAATGCCCAAGGAGCATTGTGGGTAGTGAAGGGGAACACAGACAAAGGTATTTAATTCCATATTATTAATTTTTCCTAATCCTCTTTGAGGCAACATTATATTAGCCTATCAAAATGTTGTGAAATTATTCTTTATTTGTGTATTTTATAAACATGATCAGTAGATGATTCAAAATTAATGAAGTAGGTAAACACATGTGACACCTTCACCGCCATCTACGCATTTGCACCTACCTCAAAGAAAATAGCTACCGGTAGTCGTCCATTTTTAGCATCTGCCTACTTCTGCCTTTGAATTAAATTCAGGTCCAAGTTCTGCAGTACAATTTTCCTATCACCTTTGAGGCAGGTGACGATTAGCCTATCAAAATATTAATGCAGTTATTTTTTACACCTGAATTTAATACAGGTCCAAATTTTGCAGTAAAATTTTTCCTATCTTCTTTGAGGCATGAAAAGAATTACAGTAGCTTGTCAAAATGTTATGTTACACCTGAATTAAATGCAGGTCCAATTTTTGCATTAAAATTTTTCGTATCTTCTGTGAGGCATGAAAAATATTAGCCTATCAAAATGTTAAGGCAGTTACTTTTCTCATGATCATGACCAGTGTCAGTGATAGGTCCTGAATATTTTTTGTCACACAATTTTTGGAAAATTATTTTCTGCTGAGCAAAACATCGTTCTCTTGTGTACGTCCCGTCGTGTTCTGTGTTGATTACCATAAAGAACATATTAATAGGTTCTATTTGTTCTGCTGCCGCTGTTGCATGCCGTTGGCGCATGATGTTGTCGCATGCTGCTGTTGAGTGTCGGTGTCGCGCGCAGGTTTGTGTGATGCTGTTGCGTGCTGCTGTCATGTGCCACTGTCGCGCGTCACTGTCGCGCGCCACTGTTGCGCTCTGTGTGAATGTGCCTTTTATGAGCAATACAGTGTTTCAATTATTATTTTTGTTAAATGATTTTTTCAACTTCAACTTAGACTGTTTACATTTATTGGTGAATACTTATTATTATGATAATTGCACCCCTTCTATTCAGTACATGTAGTTGCAGCTTCTAGTGAACTGAGGAAAAGAGATGAAAAGCATGTAATGATAAGCTATCAATGGGATGTCCAGAGCTTGGTTGTTAAGATTAAAGATGCCTTAAAGGTAAAACAAAAAAGATGTCTCGCACTTTACTCTTTTAACTGGACCTGAAAACAGGGATCCCAATTTGGAAGTTTCCATATCCAGGACATCTGTATTTAAATAAGATTTCCCATTCAATTATATTTAGCTGTAGTTGGTGATACCCATTACGACAAACTCAGAAGATATTTGCACGAGACTGTACAGATACAGATACACTGGCAGTGACTTCTAGAAGACAATTGTACTTTCTTTACAATTTCATATTATTGTTTGTAAAATAGTACAATGAACACTTCATAATTTAAAATACAATTATAATAACTTTTATATAACTTGTAGGTTACTGGTATTTTATAGCAACTACTGTAGCTCATGAATAAAACTACTTATGTTGTTATGTAAACAATCCCTCGTGAATATCGTACCTCGAATTACACATGAGGAATGGTTAAATAAATTTGAACAGTACTGTATAATATATAATATGTATGTATTATAAGAAAAGAAAATAAATATTTGTAGTAAATATGGTGATATCAGATCTGGCATTTACAAATTATCTTTTTTCAGGTCTAATTTTTGTGGTACCAATGCTTCGTACAATTGCCCTTATTTTATACTTCCTTCAGGATTGTGGCTACAAAGTTTGGATTGATGTAGAATCCATGGAAGGCTCTACATTACAGGCGATGGCAGAGGCTGTAGAGGATGCTGAAACTGTGCTTATCTGCATCACTGAGAAATACAAGTTTAGTCAAAACTGTAGAACCGGTAAGCAAGCTTATGCTGAGTGTGGTACTTCCAGTTACTACAATGCAGTTGGCACTAAGCATTAAGCAGATGTGAAATCAAAAGTGGCAAAAACTCTTAAACTTACTGGGGGCTTAGCCCATAAATCACCACAGCATAAGGGAACACCCCCGCTTATACCATTTATCTTCCGTCTCTCTCGATCCATAGCCTCAATTCCCCCCCCAACCCCTGCTAACAAATTCTACCGGGCCTGCTACTGGTGATATGACAATCATTCAACCTTAAAGTTCTTTGGTTGAATGTTTTTATATACTGTACTGTACATTAATACTGAATGAATATAATAATAATAATGATAACGATAATAATAAAATAAAATTTCACAATAGTTAACTGCACTGTCTAAATTGCTGTTAAGCTTCTGTTGTTTTTTCCTTTTTGGTTTTAGAGGCTGAATATGCCTTCCAGCAACGGAAGCATATTGTTCCATTGATGTTAGAACAGGAATACAAACCTGATGGTTGGCTGGGAATGATTTTAGGAACCAAGCTATATGTTGAATTCCGAGGCAATTATGATTTTAATCAGCAAATTCCTAGGTTAACTAAACAGATTGGACAAAAACAAGGTGTGAAAGGTATGTTGAATTTGTATGATCTTAGAAAATAATCTCTTCAGACCCTAATTTAAGGTGTCATAAAATTCTAGAGAAATGAAAGTTTGATTTGGATTTGAGCTATAAAATGCAATGTAGAAATTGAAATGGTAATACACCTTTTAGCTCTGCTCATTGGCCTAATAAGTGGATCCATTAACATTTCCAGCACACACTGACCAATATACTCAGTACCACATCTAAGAGTTTTTAAAAATAGGATGCATATAATATAAAGTTGACCCAATTTTTTGGAAAATTTCTGTCGGTCGCAGAGGGCAACAAAGCATTTTTTTTTTGGCCTTATAAAGACCTTTTAGTTATTTTAGTTGAATCCCGACACGATAGTGTACATTTCGATAGTTGGAGTATATATTATACTATTTTAGTACTGTATAACACATTTTCCAAGTATTGAAATGCACACCATTGTGTTGGAATTCAATATTTCGACATTAATTATGTCATCATTCCTGATAATGTCAAAATATTGAATCCCAACATGATGACATGCATTTCGATACTTGGGAGTATGTGTTGTACTTTCTTATCTGAGATTAATCAGTGGACCTTTCAGTTTTAATTATTTTTTATAATGTATTTTATTCAAAAGTCTTTTCCTATACAATATGTTGGATTTATTCAGAGGTTGTGACAGCTGTAGACTCACCTGATGTTGGCAGCAAACCTCCTACTGGTAAACAGTACTCTGTGATGAACTGGCCTAAAGATGGTGTTAGTAACTGGTTGGAAAACATCGGTCTTGAGAAGTATGTCCATAGAATGATCACCTTGACACAATGTCAACATTATCATAAGCTCTGCCTAGATTATCAAATTTTCTTTGACAAAAAAAATGTTGTATGCCCAAATATAGCCATTATGTGGCTATATATGGTCATGGTGTGATGTCATCATGACCATATTTAGGCGTGTCACATGCTTTTGTCAAATCAAATTTGATAGTCTGGACAGGGCTTTAAGCTTTGTCCACTCTATCAAATTTTATGACACAAAAATATGTTATGCCCATATTTGGCTGTAATATGACATCATCATGTCCAAATAAGGGCAGATCATGCCCAAATAAGGGCACATCACACAAATATTTGTCACATAGAATTTCATAGTCTTGATAGAGCTTTAACCTCTGAAGTTTTATTTATGAAATACATCGTGGATAAAATTCTAGTACAATTAAATAGATATGGTACTGGGTTAGTAGTACAGTAAAACATCATTAAATTTGAATTTTCTATGGTCTGATCATTGTAAATTTTGTTTGTTTTTAAATCAGCAATTTATATTTCCCTTATATCTAAGGTTCCCCCCCCCCCCAGATTCTTTATTCATATGAATAAATGCCTGCTTTGAATATACTGTATGCAAACTTGAAAAAAATTCCTCTGGAGCATCACTTGGATTACAAGTCTCCCTGAAATAAGCACTCCCCAAAAGGACTGTAAACAAGTCTAATGGAAGCAACATAATTCTCGACACATCCCATTAATGTTATGTAGAATTACCTGTTATCCAACCTGGTTGGGGTCAGTAAGTCTTTATAGTCACACACAAGGGAACTACAACACATAATTACCATCACAATAACACATCCCTTTCTACAGTGAAATTAGGGGTGTTTATATTAAGTGTATACATATTCATTTTACACCAAAGAAAATATACAAATCCCCCGAATAAACGCCTCTCTCAAATAAATCTCGCTCAAAAGCCCTTCACAATATTAAAGACCCCGGGGCATTTATTCAATACGGTATTTTAATTAGTAACTGTTTTTTTTTTCTGAACTGAGGATGTAATTTTGAGTAAAAAAAAAATATATATATACACAGGGTAGCAAAGTGATATTTAAAATGTATAAATAACCTAGACAAGAGGTTTCTATGTGTGCTAATTAATTACTGATGATAGAGGAAATTGACGTTGAGGGCAGTATATTGACAACTACCTACAGTATTCAGAGCTGGCCGTCAATTCGGCTCTAAACCTACTCAAGATTACAGGGAGGCATACAGAAGTGTAGCTAACTTTACCAAATATAGTGTATACATTAAATGTACACACAAAATTGTATTCATTCATTTCTTACCATATAGTTTGATTTACTAACTAGTTAGATGAGATTGCAGACCTATAGGCCTAAATGTGTTTAATTGTATAGCAAAGTATTTGTGCGTTTTAGTATTAAATTTTATTTCTTATAAATGTTTTGTTAATGGGCAAATTGTTTGTTCACAGATTACAAACCAATCTACGCAATATAGTACCTTTGGCTTCGCGTGCCAGGTTTTTATCCTTTGATACTTTTATTAATACGATACGATACGATAATACTTTATTGCAATTTGATCAAATACAGTACGAAGTTGAGCATAAAAAATTACCAAATAAGAATCAACAGAAAATGAAATCTCGAATACAATTAAAATAAGAGGGACAAAGGGGAAAAGTGGAGGACAACCAAACGGATACACAAATATTAAAAGGAATAAAAGACACTAAAAGCATTTGGGGTTAAACAACCGGTTAAAACAAAGCATCCGAGACAGGCAAACACCTAAATAAGTCACAATAAAAATCATTAAAATTTATAACTTATAATTATTAAACATTAAATTTATTAATTTCTTTTCATTACAATAATTAAATATATTACCAAAATTATCATTAAAATCTATAAATATTCTAATTATTATTAACATTGGGTTCATTATATTATTTTCATTACTCTATTTAAATCTATTTGATCATGTCAAGTCATGATACGTGATTAAAAATTACTTTACTTAGTCAAACTGTAAAGTAAAAGCTATAGAATAACCTGTATATACATATCATACCATACTGAAAAATCAAATTTCGACAACACATTGGTTTGTCTTTAACATACACAATAATTCTCCAATATACATTTATCTTTAGAAGGTAAAGATATCATGTTAGCTACTGGACACTTGTTTTAGAATGTCCTATTCGGCCCCTCTAAACACCACTCTATGCTTAGTAGTAGTATTGCTTGCTTTTGTGTCAACATGGTCAACTGAGGATTAGGCGCGGATCCAGAGTTTACCCTATCTTCCTTTGGCGGAAAGTTGTAGTTTTCTAGATGCTTCGAGATGCTTTCTGAACTTAATAGTTTTCCCTATACTTTACTATCGAAAATTCATAATGATGAAGATGATGATGAAAAGGAGGAGGCAGCATAACAAGATGATGACAAGCCCCTCTGCAAGATTAATTACCGTGCCCTTTGTTGTGTAGTGTCAACCGAGGCCTGCAACCTAAGTTACGGTGTTTAGTTGTGTTGTGTTTTAAAATAAAGCCCAATTAAGGAAATTTAAAAAAAAAATGGTCGTTAAAAGGTGTGTGAACAACTTCGTATTTCCTGGTACTAGAGGAACTTGCCAAGTGGGCTTGTAATCACTTTCCCTTAGACTCTCCTTTTCCTCTCTGCAACTCACTGGAAGCTCCGACATTTTAGCTTTACACGAGCCGCATTTAATTGAATTTAACAAAAGTAAATCAAAAACAGACATATAAATTATTTTAATGAACACAGTAATCAATTGACGTCTAACATTTTGATTTTGTTGTCTATAATTTTGCAAAAAAGAGAAAATAAAGCACATTAAACATGTGTTACATTAACAGATTGCCTTACACGTTGTCATTCAAAACTTACAATATAAAAGTGAATTAAAATTTACATTAATTCCAAGATATTTTGTGTACTTGTAAAATCTTGCATTTTAATGTGTCAAATTTAATGTCTTTGTTTTTGTGAACATGTTAAGCTGAAAAAAAAAAGCATTTCGGCAAAATGTACCTTCGGCGAAACGTAACGTCCTTTCGGCCAATAAATACTCTCACTTTACTAAATAGTTATCAATAGAAAAAACATAGAAAGGAAAAAAAATATATATTTTATTTCAAACATTTGTTCAACCGGAACGCTTTGTTCTCATTTACAGGCGAAAATTACAAAAATTAGTATCAAAAATATAATATAAGGTATAAAAACATTTTTCAAAATTATTATTCTTAATATTGTCATTATTACTATGTGTAAAAGTGCTTGTTTACGTTTTGGTTCGGCAGGTATGACGTCATCACCTAATTAGCATATTGTTTACTATGAATAACTGAACCAACTGGGCGATGCTATAATATAGGCCTAGTCTTTTTTAATTTTATTTTTAAATTTTATTCAGGTATAAAAATAATACAAAAGGTACGGTAGCCAAATGCTAAAATTATTGTATTTTCAAAAATATAAAGGCCTTAATTACAAATAATGAAATTACACAAAAACATTAAAATACGCATTTACAAATTGAGAATGAATATTTACAAAATACGTAAAAGATTACATTAAATATATAAAAATATAAATAAAAATAAAAATTCTGGAAAACCAACAATTTGGCACTATATGAGTCCGAAAGCCGGTGGTGCATTGGTCCCAAGAGCAAGACAGACCAGGACCGGAGAGGATCAGGAATTGAGCAGCCAGGTAATAT